TGGAACGGAAGTGCGGGATAAACCACATTAGCACTGTTTACTGTTTTGATTTTTAAAAAAAAAGCGGCTAATGGTGCGCTGGTACGCTTTGCGAGGCCTCTCGATGGTTTCGGTTTATTATCGATACGCGCGTTACATTTTAATCGCAACGCGATCCCACGGCGCAAAACAGCGACACAAAACGAGGGTAGTAGTCCACGTCAGGTTCTGTGGCCGCCCCGAAACATCACAGCTAAACCGCGTGACAATCGCCGCGATCAAGCGCAGGGAGCGTTGCGGCAGAGATTTTTTTTCTTTCAAGCTATTTGCATGCCCGCAATAAAACACCGGCGCCTTTTTGTCAGGTTTTCCCACGCGTAGTAACTCATGTTGTTTGTTTTATTTATCGTAAAGCGTTAACTTTAGGTTGGCTATCCTTCATGCAAAACTCCTCTTGAGCAAACCAAACATCGCTTAATAAAGAGCTTTCTTCGAGGAATTTTACGCAAGCGCAAACATAATGGCAATGCCGGGTTAACATTTTAAATATTCAAGGGTTCCGCTGAAGGTTTACCAGGATGAAATGATGAGGCTCGATGAGCTCTACTCCAGAGTGCAGTATTAAGGTTCAACACGTACATGCTCCCTTCAAAACACACCTTCAACGCGACAAGCAAGATGGCACATCTAAATTAACTGCAATAGAGGCACTTCACTTGCACTTATCCAATATAAAATAGTGCGGAGTCACCACTCTTAACAACAACAGTGCCATTTAGCGAAGAAGATAATAGTGTGTCAAGACACTTTTTTTTCCATGGGGGTGCTGCATTGGGATGTTTGGTCAATTGCATTATGCATTAAAGAGTTGTTTAGTATATGGGAGAAGACTAGAATACCTGAAAGAAACCCACCCATACAAGGGATGGGGGGGGGGAACTCAAAATATTCCCACGGATAAATAAAAATCCTCGGCTTAATTTAAAATCCGTAAGAGGTTTTTTCCGCGTAATACGCGCTCTAACCCAAAAAATACGCAATCTAACCCAAACAACGTCTTATTGATATTGGTCGCGAAAGCCCACGTGTTAAACTTTAATTAAAATCTCTGGGCCACTTTACAGACCAGCTAAACAGCCACCGGGTATTCCTCGGCAGTCCCCAACTCAAGCACTGCCAAAATCCGACAAGTTCTCAGGGGCAGTGATGGCGATGTGCTCGGCGGCAAAAAGGTATCTTATGCCAAGTTTCCTTTTACATACCGTCCATCATGAAGCCCAAACACGGTACCGTTTGGCTGTCTGCGCACTGCCTACGGGCAGCTATGTTTAATTAGAGGTTAGGTGCAGCCCTTTGTCAATCCACTGCTGGATGAAGGCCATCACGCTGGTAAAACTGCAGTCCGTGTAAGGGACGCTCCAGGACCGGTTTTGGCCGTCGCTCGTCACTATTGTTACCCAGAGCAGGGACTTGATCAACTCAGGTAGCAAGGTTAATAGCGTAGTGTGGCAAACCGCTTCGTCAATGCTCCATTAGCAACGCTATGGTTGTCACAAACCTACGCAAAAATGTGATCGCGATGACTCGCGAGCGTGCTCCCAGGGTTAGAACAAAACAAATGCCTTTTGTGACAAAATTACCACAGCGGAAGAAGACCGAGCAGGCAGCCCAGTTAACAAAAGTCAAATCCAAGGATAGTTTAACAAAAACACACACACACACGAGTCGCTTGGACAAGTGTGTTTTATATTTAAAAAAAAGAGACGTCTGGAAGAAATCGGCGGGGTAAGCAAAATAAATTAACCGAATGCCGCAGCAAATTTGGTGTTGCGTGTGTTCAACAACTCAACTGTTAACAGAGAGGATGGCTTTGCGCGCATTTCATTGGGTGCAGATTAATGCACATTGAAGGCATTTGGAAAAGCCTTCTCTTGCACGTGCTTCGCGATGACACGAGGACGGGCTGCTGGCAGCCATGCGGGCATCAAACATCCATCCAGATGCGATGGGGGTTATAGCCGTAATCTGCCGCCACTCTTCTTGATGGAAACGGCGCTTCCAACTCACAAACGTGGGGTGTGAACTTGCACGGCAGAATTGGAACGGGGATTTTTTTTTTGGGGGGGGGGGGGGGGGGGATTTCGGCCTCGACTTTTTAACCGAGAGATCCACGACTTTGGATCTCATTAGGCCGTGGGGGGGGGGCAGTCAATAATACCTCTCTCTCTCTGATAAATGTCAGCGTTTTTGGACTGCAACATATAATGTACGTTACGCATTTTACACGGACGTTAAATTAAGAAGGGCCAAGAAATGGCAATTGTCAAAGCAATCAAGGCCAAACCACACTGACGGTGGGGGTGACGAACTCTACCAAAATAAACTGCGACAGACGTTTGAAACCACGCCTCGTATTCCAGTAATCAAAGTCTGTTGCACACCAACGCAATGCGCCATTGAGAGCGATACGACCGGCACCTCAACAACGCGCGAACTTTTTTGGGAAAGTGTAGCAGCAGCTTTCCCACCTGATGACGGACGCTTGCTTGTGTTGCGCCCGAAACGTCGTGATTTATTTTACTACCCACGTGACTTTACCGAAAGAACCAAAGAGTATGGATTCCTGCAGTCACGAAAGCTTCAAATCAAGAGTGTAGCAGAGCTTGTTCGACTATGAAAACTCGCACAACACACGCGCACATCGGAGCAGAGACACGAAGGCAAGCAGACAGACAGACCGAGGGGGTTTAAGTGGCACAAGTCCCCTGAGAGTAACGAAAATGTGTTTCGCTGTGTCCCCATGTACAGGAAACTAGCAGCAGCGCGTCATTGTTCAGGCCTACTGACCGAAACGTTGGTGTGCAATTTGGTGAAGCAGTTAACAGTAATTTTACGTCCAAAAAAGAAAGCAATGCCAAAAGCGACATCAGTGGAGGCGATATATCCTGCAGGACAGTATTTAGTTGTGGTCAAATATAAATTATATAGTACAGAAGCGTATATACAAGCACTTTGCTGTACATGACTATCGTTTTAGGAATATACATTAATCGGTACACCAAACAATGCAACAACGGTATATATTAGTATGTACTGTACTGCGTATGGAGTATTGAATGTCTAAACAGTGATTGAGTGCTGCAACATACGCCTACAGTACTACAATCTTCAAAGGTTAGTGTATAGTAGTACAGTAGCGGTGTACAGTACGGATGCGTTGTATTAATTTCGTTCCGAGTTTTCAATGCATTTCTAAGCTTGACAGAAAAACCGGTATGTAATTCACGTATACAATAACAATCTAAAAGTTGTATATACACACACGTTGTCCTTATAATACAGAACGAGACAGACCAAATGTAATATTATCTTCGTTTCATTAGCCACAGGTTTATCTACAAAATGAAAGCTCAACATTTCCATTAGTTACGTTGGGCCGTTTCGTTTTAGTAAATAACCTGTGGACGCGCACGCTCTTCGGCATCCAACTTTCAAAACACGGGAACATCACGAGATATGTATCAGTTACCTAAAAATTTAACAGCTCGGCGTACACTTTAAGCCGCAAAACAACAAGTCCCCTGATTATTATTATTTATAAAGGTGCGCTTTCCTAAAAATCACACGTTTCAAGACACTCGCACGCTCTCGCTCGCTCGCTAGGCCACATTTTAAAACGAAGCAGAATTAACCACAAAGCATCTGCAACAAACATGAATTTTAGAGAAAGAGAAAAGCCATCCGCCAAAAGCCACATTTAACCAAACGTCTACTAAGCTCTGCCGGGCTAAACTTAAAATTCCATTCCGGCCAGATAAGAATGATAGGCAAAGGGAAAAAAGAGGGCTTAAGTTTCCAGATCACAAATGATAGCAACTACTATACAGTAGTGAACACACAACACTTCATTGTAAACGCGGTAACGGATCCCGGCCTCTTGTACAATATATCACGAGTGAATGTTTATACATTTGTAGGACATGTTTACGCGTATAGTTTGATATCGTTAAAACAGGACACGTGAACTGTTGTTTTTTTTCTCTTCAGAATACGTACGGATCATCCACAAGTGATAACAAAGTACTTAAGACTGCCGTGAACAACACGCTCCGTGTAGGATTACATTGGGTCTCGGTCTCTTTTTTTTTCCTTGATATATTAAGGAATGTTAGACCGTGTACATTTAGGACGCCGTACATGTATAGCTGATACCCTTTTGGTAAATAAGCGATGGCTCGTGACTTACATTACACTTAATGCCTTTGCTGTATTGAATGCGACTGCTGCATGTTAACTTTTACAATATTTAATCGTACGTAAAGCGTGCGTGCGTGTGTGTGTGTTGCATGCATCATCAATGTGCTTTTTTTTTAAAATACACGTTAAGGCAACTTTACATTTAAACAAAACAAGCGTTTACCATTTGTTTTTTAACGTCTGAGAAAACCCACCCAAGAATAGGACATAACACGCGGCCTAAACATTTAAAATCGACACCGCACGAGACCACAAAACGCGTCAGACACGCACTTTACAAAAGCGCAAACGACGACTAAAAACAAGGGAACTTTTTTTAAAAAGTGTAAATTAATCGCGTTAAAGGCGAAGTATACCGCTCCTCTTTACACACTGGAGGATGATGATGATGCTGATGATGAGGGGGGGTTGTGTGGGTGTTAGTTACAAAGTAACGAAAAGTGTCTCGGGCCAGCTCGCGCGTCGCGGGGGGCGCTAAAAGCCGCGCTGCCTTTCGGCCTCGCGCGTCGTTCGAACCCGACGTCGTCGTAACGTTCGCGCCTACTCAAGTTGAGTTTTGAAAGGAAAGAGCGCGCGAGAGAGAGAGTGTGAGTGAGTGAGAGAGTTTCGCCGCGGTGCGAAGCCTCCTCGTCGCACCCCAGAGCCGTACCCGCAAGACGCCATGTTCGCACGGTTGGAACGGGAGGGAGAGAGAGGAGAGAGGAGGAGGGGGTGATGGTGGTGATGGTGGTGGTGGTTAGTGGAGATGAAAAAAAAGTGCTCACTTCCAAGCCGCAAAGTCGACGCAGAAACACACCGTACAGCCGCCAAAGTCGCTCCCAAGCGTACGAATAAAGTTGATCGGCGATAATAAATAACAAAAGTAGCGGAGCACGCGAAGCCGCTCACCTGAACACGGGGTAAGGGGGGGTGGGTGAGGAGGAGGGTGGGGGGGGGGCAAAGTCGTCCCCTGCACTCCAAAGCAACTCCGCAACACTGCGCGGCAGAACGCCCCGGCCGCAGAATGGGGTGGGGGGGGCGGTGACGCGGTCCCGGCTTGGGGGTGGGTGGGGAGAAGTAGGCGGGGCCCAATTGACTTTATGGGCGGGGTTCTACGGTAGGTGGGTGGGTAGGGGGGGGGGGCTGCCCTCGCGTCCCTGGGCGGAGACGTGGACGGGGTGGGCCGCGGGGTGGGTGTGTGGGGGGTGGGAGTGTGGAGAGCCGCGTCACGCCCGCGAGATTAATGCGCGGGCCGGGTGTGGTGACGATGAGGGCAAGAGTGAGGGGGCTGTAGTTCGAGCGGTGTGGTGGTGGTAGTGGTGGGGGGATTGCGGGGGCGTAGTGAGGGGCGGGGCTGACCGGCGCTACTTTTCCCGCGTGCACACAAACGCGCCTTTTGTGTGCGCGCGCACGAGGGTGGGTGGGTGGTTCGCCCCCCCCCCGCCCCCTCCTCCTCCACACCCCCCGCCGCCCCTCCCCTCATTCCACCCCCCACCCACTTACACCTTAAGAGAGCAATGGAGCATTCATTCCCAAGACAACCTGACCGCCCGTAGCTATGCGCGATGCAATACACACGGTGGTGGGGTGGCTGGTGGCTGTGGTGGTGGCTGTGGTGGTGGTGTTGGTGTTAAGTCTGCCCTAGACGTTCGCCTCTGCGTTCCAAGTGCCGCGCAAAATCCTCAGACAAAGTGTCTTGAGGAACTCCTTTCCGTGGGTTTGGTTTTCGTTCGTCGTTCAATTTACCTCAGGAAAGTTGAACATTTGTCGGGGGGGGTTTATTTTTATTTAAATAATCGACTTTTATTTCTTGTTGGGGGTTTCCTCAGCAAAATGACGGCAATTCCACGTTACTATGTCGGGAAGTAACAGAGTCTTAATGCACGCAAAGGTTGTCAATTAAAAGGTCACGCGGTGTTGTTGATTTACGCAGTTTAACATTCGTATGTGTTATTGTTGTTGGACCAAGTGATGGGAATTTCACATTCATATGGCAGGAATCAAAACGAATATTAATCAATATACAGTAGAACCCCGACTAGCGACCACCCCCTGTTAAGGACAAATCGCTTAACGACGGCCCCCCAGAGAGCCCAATGTGTAGTGTATAGTGTAGTATATAGTAGTGTATAGTGTAGTGTATAGTAGTGTATAGTGTAGTAGTGTATAGTGTAGTATAGTGTAGTATAGTGTAGTATATAGTGTAGTATAGTAGTGTATAGTGTAGTATATAGTAGTGTACAGTGTAGTATATAGTAGTGTATAGTGTAGTGTATAGTGTAGTGTATAGTGTAGTATAGTAGTGTATAGTGTAGTATAGTAGTGTATAGTGTAGTATAGTAGTGTATAGTGTAGTATAGTAGTGTACAGTGTAGTATATAGTAGTGTATAGTGTAGTGTATAGTAGTGTATAGTGTAGTATAGTAGTGTATAGTGTAGTATAGTAGTGTATAGTGTAGTATAGTAGTGTATAGTGTAGTGTATAGTGTAGTATATAGTAGTGTATAGTGTAGTGTATAGTAGTGTATAGTAATGTATAGTGTAGTGTATAGTGTAGTATAGTGTAGTGTATAGTGTAGTATAGTAGTGTATAGTGTAGTATAGTAGTGTATAGTGTAGTATAGTAGTGTAGTATAGTAGTGTATAGTGTAGTATAGTAGTGTACAGTGTAGTATATAATAGTGTAGTGTATAGTAGTGTATAGTGTAGTATAGTAGTGTATAGTGTAGTATAGTAGTGTATAGCGTAGTATAGCAGTGTATAGTGTAGTATAGTAGTGTATAGTGTAGTGTATAGTGTAGTATATAGTAGTGTACAGTGTAGTATATAGTAGTGTATAGTGTAGTGTATAGTAGTGTATAGTGTAGTGTATAGTAGTGTATAGTGTAGTATAGTAGTGTATAGTGTAGTGTATAGTGTAGTAGTGTATAGTGTAGTGCATAGTGTAGTATAGTAGTGTATAGTGTAGTGTATAGTGTAGTATAGTAGTGTATAGTGTAGTATAGTAGTGTATAGTGTAGTGTATAGTGTAGTATATAGTAGTGTATAGTGTAGTGTATAGTAGTGTATAGTGTAGTATAGTAGTGTATAGTGTAGTATATAGTAGTGTATAGTGTAGTGTATAGTGTAGTATAGTAGTGTATAGTGTAGTATAGTAGTGTACAGGGTAGTATATAGTAGTGTATAGTGTAGTATAGTAGTGTATAGTGTAGTATATAGTAGTGTATAGTGTAGTGTATAGTGTAGTATATAGTAGTGTGTAGTGTAGTGTATAGTGTAGTATATAGTAGTGTATAGTGTAGTGTATAGTAGTGTATAGTGTAGTATATAGTAGTGTATAGTGTAGTGTATAGTGTAGTATATAGTAGTGTATAGTGTAGTATATACTGTAGTGTATAGTGTAGTATAGTAGTGTAGTATAGTAGTGTATAGTGTAGTATATAGTAGTGTATAGTGTAGTATAGTAGTGTATAGTGTAGTATATAGTAGTGTATAGTATATAGTAGTGTATAGTGTAGTGTATAGTGTAGTATATAGTAGTGTATAGTGTAGTGTATAGTGTAGTATATAGTAGTGTATAGTGTGGTATATAGTAGTGTATAGTGTAGTGTATAGTGTAGTATATAGTAGTGTATAGTGTAGTATATACTGTAGTATAGTAGTGTAGTATAGTAGTGTATAGTGTAGTATAGTAGTGTATAGTGTAGTGTATAGCAGTGTATAGTGTAGTGTATACTGTAGTGTATAGTAGTGTATAGTGTAGTATAATGTGTAGTATATAGTAATGTATAGTGTAGTGTATAGTGTAGTATATAGTGTAGTATATAGTAGTGTATAGTCTAGTATAGTAGTGTATACTATAGTGTATAGTGAAGTGTATAGTAGTGTATAGTAGTGTATAGTGTAGTGTATACTGTAGTGTGTAGTGTATAGTGTGGTATATAGTAGTGTATACTGTAGTGTATAGTAGTGTATACTGTAGTGTATAGTGTAGTGTATAGTAGTGTAGTGTATAGTGTAGTGTATACTGTAGTGTATAGTATTTTTATAGTGTAATATATAGTAGTGTATAGTGTAGTGTATAGTAGTTGTATACCGTAGTGTATAGTAGTGTATAGTGTAGTGTATAGTAGTGTAGTGTATAGTAGTGTATAGTGTAGTGTATAGTAGTGTATAGTGTAATGTATACTGTAGTGTATAGTGTAGTGTATACTGTAGTGTATAGTAGTGTATACTGTAGTGTATAGTGTAGTGTATAGTATAGTGTATACTGTAGTGTATAGTAGTGTATACTGTACTGTATAGTGTAGTGTATTGTATACTGTAGTGTATAGTGTAGTGTATACTGTAGTGTAGTGTATAGTAGTGTATAGTGTAGTGTATAGTAGTGTAGTGTATAGTAGTGTATAGTGTAGTGTATAGTAGTGTATAGTGTAGTGTATACTGTAGTGTATAGCGTAGTGTATACTGTAGCGTATAGTAGTGTATACTGTAGTGTATAGTAGTGTATACTGTAGTGTATAGTGTAGTGTCTACTGTAGTGTATAGTGTAGTGTACAGTAGTGTATAGTGTAGTGTATAGTGTAGTGTATACTACAGTGTATAGTAGTGTATAGTAGTGTATAGTAGTGTATAGTGTAGTGTATAGTGTAGTGTCTACTGTAGTGTATAGTGTAGTGTACAGTAGTGTATCGTGTCGTGTATACTGTAATGTATACTGTAGTGTATAGTAGTGTATAGTAGTGTATAGTGTAGTGTATACTGTAGTGTATAGTGTAGTGTATACTGTAGTGTATAGTGTAGTGCATACTGTAGTGTATAGTAGTGTATAGTGTAGTGTATAGTGTAGTGTATACTGTAGTGTATACTGTAGTGTATAGTGTAGTGCATACTGTAGTGTATACTGTAGTGTATAGTGTAGTGTATACTGTAGTGTATAGTGTAGTGTATAGTAGTGTATAGTGTAGTGTATAGTAGTATAGTGTATAGTGTAGTATTGTAGTGTATAGTAGTGTATACTGTAGTGTATAGTGTAGTGTATACTGTAGTGTATAGTGTAGTGTATAGCAGTGTATAGTGTAGTGTATAGTGTAGTCACGTAGATAGGTTCAAAGAAAATAACAAAAACTAAGACGTTTCGATCGCAACACAAGTGTGTATAGTGTAATGTATAGTATTGTAGTGTATAGTAGTGTAGTGTATAGTGTAGTGTATAGTAGTGTATAGTGTAGTGTAGTGTCTCCATGGAGCCCAATGTGTTCGCTTACCGACCATTCCCCTATTCAAGACGGGCTTTTGTAGTTGAAATAAACATGAACTAATGCATCGATTAACCGCGTTTCTTTTATTATGAAGGTATTATGTTATTAGTATCTTAATGTATTAATGTTTCAATATTAGAAAGTACGTTTTTTGGGGGTGAAAGAGGGTAACTTTCGCTGCTGTCGGAACGAATTAATCCTTTAACGTGCAATCCCTATACTCGCTTAACGACCAAATCACTTAACGAGCGGTTTCGTGGACCCAATCAGCGTGGTTAAGAGGAGGAGGAGGTGGTGGTTGTTCTACTGCACAACATTTGACGATTCAATTTTAATTGAGGACGAACTCCCCCTGCCCGCACGCCTGCGCGTGATCAACGTCAGGCATGGGGGGGGGGAGGCTGCGGCGGTGACGTCATCACGCACAAGTTCGACAGGCTGCTGGTGACGTCATCACGCACAAAACCGGCTCAACTGGCTGCTGGTGACGTCATGACGCAGACGTGCGCGCGCGCGCCAGCCAGCCAGCCAGCCCCGTGGCCAGCCAGAAAAAAACTTTTTTTTTTCAATCTAATATACCGTAAAATTAAATAGCATGAGCAAAACAAGTCACCACATCCACTACTGACGCTGACTGTATGCAGAAATAGCCTGCAGA